TGTTCTTTACATAATATTCGTTTGCTGCTGACCTTCCAAATGTTTCTTTAATTTCTGTTCCCTGCTGCACTGCAAGAGTTTTATGAGAGTGAACATAGAATAAGTAGTCTATTTCCATTAGTAATAAATCTGCTTTTGCCCTTGCAGAGGAACCTTCGCTTCAGTGTCTGTACTTTTGGAAAAATAATGAATTCATGCAAGAGGTTACCAGGATAAGAGCAAACCAGGGTTTAAAGTCTAACCTGGTACATCAGTGCCTCAGGGCGAAATTCCGAGTCCATTTGAGCAAGAGATGTGGGCCACAAAAGTTAAAAAAACTCCCAGCAGCTCCCAAGGCTGCTCCAAACACCAAATCACATGCAGAGACTCATGATTCTTTAATTTAACTATGTTGTAAGTATTCTGTTTTCAAAAGAATAAAAAGACCCTTTAATCTGTATTTTCTCTCTCTTGGTTAGTTTCATCCATTTAACTGAGTCATGTTTGAGCTTCCTAAGTTCTGGGAAGTTAGTGCATTCTTGATCATCTTTACAAACAGATTACATTGTCTTATTTATTTGTTTATAATTTTTATATATTTCAAATTTAAAATTATTTATATATTTGTGATATTTATGTATAATTCATATATTTTTACTGTCAATTGGCTATTGATTCTGCTTTAATTTCAATAAAGCTTGAGAAAGTGTCTATATCTATGTTCAGATTACAGTGTCAACATTAAAGGAATTTCTCCTGCTGTTTTTAAATGAAAACAAAATAAAGTAATTATCTAGAGGTTCCAAGATAACATGAAAAACTATCTCTAAGTTTTGTGACACATTCTTCACAGATGACAGAAAGCACAAGACAAGGCTTGAATATATAATTAACACACTCACAAGTATAATAAAGCTGGTTAAATGACAAAAAGAACCCCAACATGTACATATATTTGATAATATCTTTTTGAAATTTGGATGCATTTTTAATTGATGTGACCAGCTCCAAAAATGAACATTCGGTTAAAAAAAAAAAAAAAGCTCCTTTGTAAGAATGGTATCTACATTATATAAAAAGATCTAGGAAAAAATATTCTACAACTAAAGTGCATTTTTTTTTTGTAGGATATTTAAATATATGTATAAAAACTCACTGGTTACCCATGTAAAAATAAGAAGCTATTTTTATATATGTGTCTAAGCTTGAACACCAGTCTGAAGAAAAAAGGTAGAAAAGGAAACATAGCAGATAATTTGCTTCACCGAGCAGCTCACAAGACTGATGGAATAGCATGAGAACAACTTTCCTAAGCAAAAGTTTATAAGTCACTTTCCATTTCAATACAACAGTAAATTGTGTGACCTGTTTTGAGGAGCAACTGCTTTGAATAGATTAGCTTTTCATCTGAATTTGGCTGCTTAACAGTTAATATGAAGAAGCTTTCAATACTGATCTACTTATGAGCAAAACAATGAGGATTATATGGTGTTAGGAAGGTTGGACGTAGCCTAAGGATATAATCTCTGGTGAGGTCAAGGCTGGATGGCTTGGAGAAAAAGAGACATGTAAGCACTGTAAAGATCCATCTTTCCAGCTCAGTAAAACAGGCTAGAATATGTTTTCCTGTTCACTCTTTAAGGTGAAGTGCATGAATAAAAAAGGGCTACACATTCTCCTCCTGCATTTAAATTGCAAAATATGTAGAAAGATAACTCTTTTTCTTTTTTATTAGTCAGATCTCTAAACCGTTAAGTATGGACGATATAAGTGACATATAATGAAATTTTTATACATATATCTCCATATGTGTTCTTGTCCAACTCTAACATTTGGACTTTTCAGGGAAGAAGCTGGGAAAACACAGGGAAAAGAGTAAAATTTTGAACACATAACCGTAACAAAAATTAATATATCATTTTTTTTGACATATAAAACAAATGACCCTGCCACTCGGATTTACTAAATAAGTCTCCCAGATTTTACCCCAGACCTTTGTTCTGTTCTGCCATAAACCAAGATGAGCTGTAACCTAGAAATAGCTTGTTTTCTGGAGAAGGAGATAGCATTATAGAACCAATGTTTCAGCAGTGTCCAGCTGTCAGAAATGGTCTTCCTTGCAGAATGGTCACAGCTGCTTTGAGTGGTAATCTCCATGCCCATTGAAATCCAAATTTCTTTATTTCAAAAGCAGATCTATATATTGTGGTTTAGCAGAATTGCATAGTCAGGAATACTAAAGTTTCACAACCTAGATGTGTCTAAAAATCAGAATAGGATTTTTTTTCATAAAAGGCAGCTTTCTGAATAACAGGGAGCAACTGAGGGTTGAAGAATGCCTTTTGCAGCAAAAGCAGGCAAAGCAAAGCTTTTCAACGTAGGAAAATGTCCCATTTTCCACATCCTGTGTCAGAGTGGTACTCACTTAAATGTGAATGCTTTAAGTCACGAAAGGATAATAAAATGGTACAACATTTGAACCTTATTTAATTTGAAATATTTTGAACATTTGAAACTCTTGAAATATGAAAACACTTCCTCTTTAATATTGAGTTTCTTTGAAAAGAAATGCCCTTCTTATAATAACTAATCAAATAATTGCCCTATTCATATTATTATCCTTATATCTGGAACTGGCAGTTGCCAGAAGAGGTGAATGTCCAATGCAAGCTTGTGTAGTAATTCTTTCATTTGTACATGTTTTTATTATATGATCTAAGTGATTCTTTGCAAATTGAGAGCCACATTAAGTGGATAGTTGAAGTCACTTGCTGTTCATACTAATGACTAGCAATATCTGTATAGTAGTAAGATATATTTTGAACATCTAGATATGTATCAGTGTAGACCTTCTCTGTGGGATAAATGGAAAGCTCCACACTCTACAATTTTAAGAAAGCTTATAAATATGACATAAAATCTTTAAAAATATGCAACTATAATTAATTGGGCTGATAACGAGATCAACTTTTCTAGATGTTTTCCATACACTGTAGGGAACTGTAGGACTGCAGGCTTACTACTAGAAACTACATTTCCTGCTGCATTTCCTAAGACAAAAGTTACAATCTCCATGTGTTATAAATCAATGTCTTTTATTGGAAAGAAAATATTAAAGTAGTATGCAGACAGACCTCATTGCACCTTTCTGACCGCAATCAGCAAGACCAGTTGCATAATAATAATCCATTGTGTTTCTCATGTGCTTAAATTAAATGTGTATTTAGATGTTTTGCTGAGGGAGGCTTATGCCAATATACAATGCAAATAAGGGAGTGAAAGCAAACCCTTAGGGCCTCCATCAAAATTAATAAGAGTCTTGCCATTGATTTCCACAGGCTTTGTATCAGGTCTTTAGCAAGTGGATCCTCAGGACCTGAGGGGGAAAATGAATGCAACACAACCCACCAGGAAGGTTTCTCTTCTTCTCCTGGTAATATCCA